GAGAAAGGCAGTAGGGGACACTGGAGGAGGGAAGTCACTGCTAAGGCTTATACAGTACTGTGCAAAAACAAGGCCATTGAAATATAACAAAGATTCAAATAAAAAAGGCAATTTCAATAAAAATTAAACACAGCTGCGAATAACAGTTACTGAAGCAAACCCCCACACGCCACCCAGGGTATCACCAATGAGGAAATCCTTTTAAGAGAGAATCATTGCGTGCCAGTGTGTCCCGAAACCAAATATCATGCAAAAAATTCTCCACATATCGGAACACCACAAAATTTACTAGATGGTTTTTAGTTTACAAATGGTTCCTACTCCCATTCGAACACAGTATCTGCGTTCCCTAGGAGAAAAGTTCATAAGATCAATGTCAGCTCACCAACGGCCCAAAGTCTTATTGCCAACCAATCAGTGTGTGGCCTTTTATAATCATCAGATCATAGGCTTTTACTGGGGGAAAATAAGTAAACCGGCATTCCAAATTTCAACAGTAATGGCTCACGTTAGCCAGACTTGCTCTGCCTTTGTGAATTTCAGGATGCCAAAAGATGAGAGGCAGTGGTTTTCTACCCAGTGGAATGGTTGGTGCACAAGTAACAGTCTGAATAACTGTGCTTTATGTTAACAACGCTGCTGTTTTATCTGGCCTCCATAGTCGCATATACCAGTGTCACTCTCCAAGGGACATGGGATTCCTCTGCACTGTGAAGGATATTGTTTCTATCGCAGGAAATGCAATGCAGTACAGCGCATGAGAACGTACGGCTCGTTGCCCCCTAGAGGCAACACCACAATGATCAGTGTCTAATTTCTCTACAACAATACATCTTGCACAAAATCCCTCAAATACAACACGAATATACATTTACATACACTAGACCAATCAGAAGCAGTCTGTCTGTCACTTTGTCAAATCAGCTCCCTTGTACAAATATCTAACCACAGAACATAATTAAATAAGACAGAACATCATTTTATTTGAAGGTTGGCTTTGGAATATCTATCAGTACCCCAGACACATTCCGCTTTTAAACCACTCCGGTAAAAGTCTGGTCATTTCCTCGCTGTTCCTTTGGGAAATGAGGCAGTGCGCGTCATGTTGGTGCCGCTTGATGCATTTCGTCTTCAGGAAGGTGCAGGAAGTGGCTTTTAATTGTGGATGACGTGTCAAGCCGCTCCAAGGGAAGGAAAGCGGAGCAGTGAGAGAGCCGGGCTCCCGTCACACGGCTGGCCAGTGAATGCGGACCCTCAACTGCTCCACAAAGATGGGCCACTGGCTCGGCACGGTGCCGGCGCCGGGTCCGAGGACAGAGAGGAAGTGACACCGGCTTCGTGACGTAGGATGGGGTGAGCAGTGAGGAAAGCAGCAGAAAAGGGAGGTGCTTCTGGCACGAGGTCTGATGCTTTTGGTCAACAGCAGCGCACAAAAACGAAAGCCCTGGGGTGTCACCGTCGGTTTCTGCACGCTGCATGGGGCTGTCTAGTCACTGTGGTCTTCGCAACCGCAGGCCCAACCCTCTCTGTCCACGGAACGGCTCAGACTTGCACGCTAATTCGTGTTTGCTGTGCCTCAACGTGTGATGGAACCCACTGCGGACCTTCAGTTCACGAGGAAACATGGCTTCCTTCTCATCACTCCTCCGCCGTCAGCTTGCATAGTGAATTTGTGCTATAAGGTTTAACTGGCCCAGTTCTCCTCTAGATTCCACAGACATTCCCAAATCCATGCCCTGTATCCCCACCTCCTCTTCAAAGCTATGAAGTGAAATGTTACTGTGGGAGAGTTGGCTGGACGACCTGGTGTTTGCCCTTTTGGTGGAGAGAAGGTTAGGGGGATTTAAACTAAAAAACCGAAACAGGAATACACCATTCAAAGTGAAACCAAAAGATGTCGGACCAGGAAAAGCGAGAGAATTCGCAGCCAAAGACCCTTGTAAAGCTCGCCACGGGATGGGAGAGTAAACCGCGGAAAAGAATAGAAATCCGCGGCCACTGACTCTCTGTGAATGCTCCGGTAAGAAAAACAATAAAAAGCATGCCAGATATCCCAGATAAATTACGTCGCTCTCTGGTCAGACAGCAGCGAGGTGATGCCTTATTGGCACAGACAGAACCGTTCTCCAAGAAGTGCTGGTGGTGTCTCATCCACTCTGGTGATTCCTGCACCGTATTGGCCATGGGTTCAGATGGTGCAGGGTGGAGATACCGTGTGGCTATGACACCTGCCTGACAATGTCAACAAAGCCTCACAGATCTCCGGGTCGGAGTGGAGAGATGTTCATCACGTTTGACATCACAACACCGAAGGCAAAGTGTGACGGTCGGGTGATTTGCTCTCGGGGGTGTGCAGGCAAGAAGGCAGTGACTGTGCGATCAGGAAGGTACCTCAGCACAGGACGAGGGTGGACTTCACCAGGGACAAAGTCAGACAGCAGAAACGTCCCTGGTGATGACGCTGAGGATCATGTCATTTTTCCTTCTTGACTCGACGTTTCCGTTTTGAGAGCACATGTTCTGTTGATCGCTTCATTTGAGTTGGATGTCTCATACGGGCACCACCTTAACTGGGTCCTCACACAATCGAATCCTTGATCTCCGAGCCCAGTCGTATGCGTGGACGTGGGCAGGTGGGCGAGATCTCCACGTGACTCTCCTTGAAGTTCAGCGGCCGCCTCTCTGACTCGGAGAAGCTCTTGCTGTTATCGGGGGAGGAGTCCAGCGTTGGTGTGCTGCAGAAGTAGTTGTCGTTGAGGGTCTGGTAGCCCTTGTGATCGGAGGAGGAGGCAGGTAGGGGGTTGCCATTGAGGGGCAAACTCTCCACTGGCTTGCTCACCATCCTGGGCTTCATCTGCTGTATGTTGGGGCACTCGCTCTCCTTCAGCATGGACTTCATGTGGCCACGATTTCTATAAACCACCAACAAGGAGAAGACCAACAACGAGAAGGCCAGCAGAGTGCAGACAATGATCAGCTCATTCCAGTAGGTCTTGGTGCTGATGGATGGGAACCGCGCCTCTCCGGGAAGGACGATAGTGTCCCGGTGGACCTGGGTGGTCCGGGTGCGACCCATCAGGGTGGTGGTTTCCTGCCAGACCTCGGCCCGCACGCAGTAGTTGGCCAGCAGCTGCTGGAAACCCTCCTCCACAGACCAGCAGGCGTAGTTCTCCTCTGTGTCGGCCTGGGCCACCACCAGCAGACCCCCGTCGGGGCTGGCATACACGGAGTGCCGAGCGCCCTCACTATATTCCCACCGCCTCTCTGCCAGGTTGGAACGCACGTCGCACGGCAGCACCCGGAAGCTGTTGGCCGGAATGACGACCTCCTGGCACACAGACACGTCTGTCATAACAGACAATAAGGAACAATGAGTCATTCCTGTCACATGGGCAAACATCCTAAAGGTGCTGTATAAAAAAAACCACGCAACACGGCTAATTCCCAAGCCTGGTATAATGGACATCTGCTCCCTAGAGCTTAAATTCTAAAACCACAAGCGTGTAAGACTACAGATCCTTCAGACGGATGGTACCAATATGCACCTGGTCCCAGTATCCCCACATGCAGCAAGGTGACACACGTAAATCCACATCTCTTAAATAAAAGTCAGTAAAGAATGACTCATAAGAGAGACGTATTGTTTTGAAATGTCACTGTGTGATAGCACTCTATATTAGGATCATCGAGGATAAGCTAATAGAAACGGAGCAGAGCGGTACAGTCACTTGATGTTAACCCTCTGAAACCCCGACGGGCCGGTTCTGCGTGTCTCACAGCACGGAGGACAATCTGTCAGAGGGACACTTACGCAGGGTGGCCTTTCTGCCAAGGTGGTGGCTGAGTGGGGACCTCTTGCAGGTGGCGGTCATGTCCGCAGCCTCCACGTCCTGCTGCCAATGGCTGAAGGACAGGGGACAGATCAGCACGTCCAAGGTAGACATTTTCAGTGAACCCACATACCCCCCCTAGAGGCCAAAAAGAGTAAAACATCGCAGGTATGCTGGCAGCTTCTCTGCTTCCTCCTTTGTAGCAACACAGTGTAACAAACTGTACCTGATGCTCTTATAACACCTGGGGGCGCAGTGCAGAGACGCGCGTGGCTCACCTGTCGGGAGGGGCCCCCCTGACGTCTGCACACTCTCTCCCCGTCCAGGCGCAGTAAGGGTCCCGCGACAGAACACAGTCGCCACAGCTCTGGTAGTTACTGCAATTGGCCACTGGGAGCTCCAGAATCCCCGAGTAGGAGGACACATAGAGCAGGCCCTACAGGGAAGGGGGAACCACGGAGAACCATGAAGAACGGGGCCTGCATTCTAGCGATGGCCAAATGAAGCTTCATTAACTACTGTCTTTCATGACATCACTTGATGGTGCTTTTAATAAAAAAAAAAAAAAAAGCTCAATTCATGCCCCAAAGCAAACCAAGAGTGCCATCTAGTGGGGTCATAAAATGCAGGAAATGGTTCTTGAAGCTTCATTTGGCCTTCACTAACTACCTTCACTTCAGGTCCATAGGGGGGCTTGGAACCTGCCTCTCCTGCCCGCCCAGGGCTTGGCCTGACCACGTACCTTGACAGAGTCCAGTTCTATGTGTGTGATCGGCTGAGGTTCAGAGAAGAGCTCCAGCTCCTCGATGATGTGCATCTTGCCGTTCGTGCTGATAGCTTTGTGCAGCTTTCCATCATCTACCAAAAGAAAGCGTGGGTCACATGACTGTCTGTCGCATAGGCCGGGAGAGTCACCCGTGGGCGGGGTCACGCACCTGTGCCGACGAAGAGGACGTCGTAGGTCCCTCTGAGGGCGCGCACACGGTGCACGGCGATCTGGGTGTACGTCACGCTGCGTTTCAGCAGCAGGGGGGCACTGCGCACTGCACTGTCCATCAGGAAGTGGTCCTTCACGAAGTTCAGCACCTTGTCTGGCATTTGCAGTGAGGAGGAGATGTTCAGGGCTCGCACTGCATTGGTGATGCACTGGGAGGGGGGGACAGCAAGTGCAAAGTGAGGCCCCAGATTGTGGTAGGGACAGGGACATGACGGGGGACAGGGTGGGAGAACTGGGACACAACTGGGAGCATGGGGATAGAATGAGGGACAGGATGGGGGTATGACGAGGACAAGACGGGAGCACGGGGATGTGATGGGGGCAGGACAGGGACGTGGGGACACATTGGGGACAGAACAGGGGCACGGGGATGGGGAGCATGGGGATGAGAGGGGGGCAGGACAGGAGCGGCTGGTGCTCACCGCTCCAGGCCGGGGCTCAGGCACAGCATGGTTGTAGGAGTACCACTGCTGTGTCTCGCGGTTGACCTCACGGTAGCGACCCCTGAAGGCGGCCTGCACCTGGTCCATGGTGAAGGAGCACACAGCTGAGCTTCCGGAAGCACCTCTGTACCTGGGAGCACAGAGCGGGAGAGTGGGCTGTAGGGGCACAGGAGAGCACAGAGGCACACAGGCATGCATGCACAGGGCAAAGCGCAGCTCACCACTGCGATGTGAACACCCCGTAGAACCGGGTCTCCTTCCAGTCCTCCTTCCTGTTGGGCTTCAGTACAAACACGTCCCGGATGATGTTAAAGGGGAAACCGTCGTCATTCAGAGCGCAGAGCAGCTGGGCCTTCAGGAAAGTCGTCCACCGCTTCTGCAGCACCCTCTCACCACCGATATCCCCCTGTGAGCGTAGAAGGACAGGCCTGGTCACAGCTGAGCGGAGGATGGCCAAGGGTGGCATGCAGGGTTAAAACTGTCCAGTAGATGGCAATATTTAGCCAGGAGAAAAATGGGAGATAACTGTAATGCTATGGAGAAAATGAGCGATGCCAAATGTTGTCAAACAATTTTTAGAAACAATTACAATTTAATTGAGGGCTTATTTATAGCATCATGTGCTGAAGTTCTCATCCAGTGTGAGGCTGCTGCTTCTCCTCTAAAAGACGCAAAGGGATGACCACAGCACATAGCTACAGTGCCTGACAGGCACACAAACAGCTTCCTGTTTCTGTTAGACGTGTCTTTATCTCCTGAACTATATATCGTCTGGGTGAGGCTGTCTCAGAGATAAGTGATGACCGGTGATTTTTCACCTGGTAATTACCTGCCAACCTGGTAATTACCCGCAGCCAGTGGTAATGGAAGCGCTGTGGTACCTCCCGTCCTTTATTGTCTCCCGGTTACCCTTCATCACTTCTGGGTGACCTTCAGGCCAGTTTCAGTAGTTACAGAATAACACACCTTCAAACCTCTTACCACTGGGACTCCCTTGGGACTGAACCGTCATTATGTCACCTGCTGCCACCCTGCTGACCACAACACAGCAAAGCAAGCGAAACATGCCCCCCAAGAGCACTTATTCAGGAAGGGTCCGTCAGATGTGAAGTCACACAGACAGAGAACTGCAGTGAGTTTGATCACAGGCAGCCACATTTTCAGACAGCTTTCCATGTGACCTTTGAATTCCCCACCTGGTTGTACTGGGATGGATATTAAACCACACGGAGCAGGTTAATGGGTTCTCTCTCGGTATCTGACGCTCCTCAGGGTGGCCCCACCTCCCTGCCACACAGACCTAGGTCCGGAAGTTTCTGTGCGCCCCATTCTATCCCCATGTGTACCAACATTAGCTCATGAGAATGAGCCAAACACCGTGTTCGCAGAATTACCCAGATAAAACTGACAGATGATAACGCAAAACTCGTAAGGGCCCTAAATCATCAATGCTTCAGGTCCTTTAGAATATGTTACAGATTTTAAAATGAAAGGAAAAAATGTGCAAAGTGCTTCTTGACATGTTTATGCGGGTCTTGCCACCAGGTTAAAGGTGGTGCTCTGAATGACTCATTTACATTTCATTCGTTAAACAGACATTTTTATCCAAAGCAAAACCTTGGAGGTATTGCGGATTAAGGGCCTTGCAATAGGGCTCAACGGCGAAATCACTCGATTTGAACCAGCTACATACTGATGACAGGGACAGGATCCTCACTCACTGAGCCATACACTGCCCTCCTGTCCAGGCTGTTACTTACAAACATGAGCTCATTCTCAAACACTAGCTGTGTGTAACTCCCTGGTCTGCTTCCTGATGCCACTTATGTTTTATCTTGAATCCTAAATTTGGGATCAATTAGGTAAGTAAGTAAGCGAGCGAGCAAGTGAGTGAGTATCTATCTATCTATATATCTAACTATCCATCCATCCATCCAACCATCCAACACAGTCTGCAAAAACAGGCACCGGAAAGACAAAGAATGATGGATAAAAATGGGAGACGGAGAAATTTTCAGGGCTGGCTGTGCAGGATGTGATGTCATTTCAGAAGGTCGCAGGCAGTCAGACAGACGACTTCATGCCCCCTGTCATATATCAGACCCATGCAGATTTGTGGGCCTGTTTGGGTCTGATTTAGCTCTCAGCAGAAGTGCACACACACGCCAAGAGCATGTGGTGCCCCGTTTGACCCATAAGAATCATGCAGGACCCACGGTACCAGACCGCTGAGAGCTGATTCATCCTGTCTGCTCCAGTCTGACGTGCGTCAGGCCCTAACCACCGTCTTACACAAACGTCACGTGTAATTCCAGGACCCGACCGCCTGGCATTTCTAGCAGGCATGCTTATGGACACCTAAGGAGCAAAGTGGATCCAGTTCCCTAATGCAGCTCCTTTTTGCTGCTGGGTGATTTGGTGACGCCGCATTTCCATATTTAGTGCAGAGCAGTGCCCGATTCCCCAGGCGTAGGCCCCGCAGTCGCAGGCAGGTCCAGTTATAGCCGCTTGGCACACTTATCGGGCCCCTTCATTCACATCTGGTTCCCGTTTACAATCAGCCCCGTGACCCAATGACCCCCTAGTGAACCCCAAGCCTCTCACCTTACACACACGTGCGATGCGTGACACGACAGTGTTGTCGAAGAAATCGAACTCCCGCCCCACTTCGCTAAAGAAGAAGTAAATCTTATCGTCATCGCCGAGTGGGTTGTCTTTGGGGAGGCTCTCGTGGATGTAAGCCGATCCCACAAAGGCCGGGTCTGCAGGAGACAGATTCGAAGTTAATGTCTGGGTTTAGAGGAGAAATTTCAACTTAAATCAATGCACTAAATATCACATTTACTACCGATTTCACTGTATTATACACTGTCATTTCATTTATTTCTTTGGTTACTGTCTGTTGGGAGACTGTCATTTTGGGATTTAACTTTGCAATGCTACCCTCCCCGGATCGATAACGTTCTTTTCTTCTCCACCCAAAGATTAGAAGAAATTCATCTCATTCATGTTCTAAACCATGTAGATCGCACTAGATGTTACCATAGTGACCAATGCAGGAGAGAAACCAGCCACACTGAGAGGAATTGGTCCTGCAAAGTTGCTTTGACACGTGAGGCACTGTGAACTGGTCCCTACCTTGCCTCTGGCCACACCCCCCTCCCCCCCCCACCCCCACTCGAGGAATCACCTTGAAGCCATTTCAGGGAGTTCTCTGTCTTCAAGGCTGTCCCCTGGCCAAGGCTCTTGTAGATGACAGGTTCATTTCCCTGGAAGTTGCTGACTGTGCCGGCATACAGCTCCTCATCTGAGAGAGGGGACAAGCCCAGACAGGGAGCACGTGAGCCTGGCGGACTGAGACAGAGCTCTCCCCCAGTGCCTGCTGTGCCGCGTGATCCAGAGCCTTCCAGGTCAGCCCTTACCGACCATGATGGCCGTGGATTTGTACTCGGGGTTAAAGGGGCAGCGGCTCCTTCCATCCTCTGTCACGATCTCTCCCGTCTTGGTCATGACCAGAGTGAAGTTGGAGGTGTTCTATGGAGCGAAGTAAGCAGTTAGAAATCTGACAATCAGAACCACTTCGGGTCTGCCAATTAAAATGCTGCATGATGAATGTCTGGAGTCCATGACCCTGCCTCCATTGGGAGATTTCAGGGCAGATGAGGGTTAGATTTAAGATTAGTTGTAGGGTTAGGGTTAGGGTTAGGTTTAGTAACAGGGGACCACTTCCATTATTTCTCAATCAGAAAGTCAGGGCTGAATATTAGGGCCCTAGTAAATTTCTATAGAGAGAATGTGACTTAAAGATGTGGAAACCTACGGGCTGTTGGGCTTGGTACTGAGCTTGCAGTACCACTGCAGACATATCAGGGGCGATATGGGTTCAGAATCCATCCCGTTTTTTTTGTCATTGAATCCCTGCTAGACCATGCTAATTGTAGTAGCATGGATAGATGGATGGATCCAGATCAGCTGCTCGAAAGGCCCCATTAGCCACGTGTTCACTTGCAGATGAAATATGTAAAGCGCACTTACGATGTACACACAGAGCGGGCTGAAGGCGTACGTCCCACACATGTACAGATGGGTGCTGTTGAACCTCAGTAAGATTTTTATGTAATTGAAGCAGTCGGTCTGGATCAGATAGAAAGAAAAGGGAACAAGAAAACAGGAAGTTAACATTACAAAGGGTTTGTCTCATCACTTGTGATCATAGCACTTCTTCCCTACTCTACACAAACACAGAGGTCTTGATTTAGTACAGCCCAGGATGGGTCTGGACACTCTGCTACCGAACAACGGTGGAAGAGCTCGAAACAAGCACAACATCACCCCTGTATGTTGGGGGGGGCGGTGTATGGCTGACAAGGTAAGACTCTGTACTCATAATGGGAAGGTTGCCAGTTTGAATCCCAGGGCCAGCAGAGCGATGCAACTATGGGGCCCCCAAACAAGGCCCTTAACCCCCACGTGCCCCAGGGATGCTGCATACTGGCTGACCTGCTGTGACCCCCAAGCTTGCTGTCACCTGCATGTGTCTGTGTGTTTCATGGAGAGCGAGATGGAGTAGGCAAAATGAGAATTTCCCAATGGGATAAATAAATTATCACTATTCTATTCTATTCTATGAGTATTCTATTAAAAAAAACGTAAAGACCTGGCTTTTACACCAAGGCGGTGCAAATTTTTACACTGGTCTGACGTTGATCTTTACACCAGAATGACACTGGTCTGACACTGATCTTTACACTGGTCTGATACTGATCTTGACACTGGTCTGACATGGATCATTACACCAGAATGACACAGATTTTTACACTGATCTGACACTGATTTTTACACCAGAATAGTGCTGCTCCACATCACTGCATATCTCTAACCTGCAGATCTTTGCCTTTGAAGCTGCATTCCTCTCTTCTTTTCTGAGGGGTCCTCCATGTCAGCTGCATACAGAAGAAGAGGTTTAATAACAAGAACACAGAGCAGTTCAGCAGCCAGAGCCAGGGCTCAAAGCAGGCCGGAATGTGCAGGAAGGTTCCCACATCACATGCAAACCCAGTGTGGCACCTTTCCTGCATTCCTGTAACGTAATTCATTTAATAATTCGGAACCCCACCCCAACAAAGCTCACAACTGCTATCAAACAAAACGTTGGCATTGGCCAATTTTAAAGAATGCCAGTGATGTGTGAGGGTGGGGGGGCTGCCAGCAGACGCTCACGTTCTTGTGCAGCTCTGGCCGGCTGATGTTGGAGAGATTGAGGGCAAACAGAAGCTCCCTCGCTCCCACATACAGCATGCCGTCCTCCTGGCTCAGAAGAACCGACGTGTAATTGAAGACCCCGGGAGCAGAGAAGCGTTTGGCGGCCCTCTCCTCCGAGTCTGCAAAGGGGAAAGAGTGGAAGAGAAGCACCTTGTTAGGGGATGAGAAAGTGCCGGGTGTGCAGCTTGCATTTCAATACTTTTCATCACTAAATGACACGTCATCTCCTTTACCAAATGCCAAAACACATCAATGGACAGACTGGGAAGAGAATCTCCTGCTGCCTCGATCAGGAGGGCATCCAGAGATGGACCAGGATGCTATCGAGAGGGACCAGGAGAGGATCCAGAGAGGGGCCAGGAGGGCACCCAGAGAGGGACCAGGAGGGCACCCAGAGAGGGACCAGGAGGGGCATCCAGAGAGGGATCAGAATGGCATCCAGAGAAGGATCAGGATAGAACAGGGAGAGGCAGTGTCTAAACTGCTGTATAGCTGACAAACTCATTTCTTTACCTGAAGAGACCTACCATTTTCCCCATTTTAACAAGCTTGTTCTCAACATCTGCTATGAAGAAAAGCTAAAAGACTCTTGTCCATTTGGGGAAAAAAGCAACCCCCCCCCCCCCCGAATCTGTATGGATGCTTAAAACATAACTAGAGAAAACTCAAATTTTTCATTTAGTTTTCTCTAGGACCAAGCTCTCCCAGGCCATAAAGCAGGTCGGGAAACGTGGGCCTCGGTGGTGCCTGTAGCTAGAGCTGCTCAGCGAGCCACTCGCCCTGCCTCGACCCGTGACAGAGTATCTGATCATTCGGCCCTTCCCCTTTCAGGCCACACCCCTCGCCCACTCAGTCAGCCAGCACAGCTGTCACCTCCGCTCACGGTGACAGGCTGTCCTCAAGGTCATTGTGACAAACAGGGGGGCCGAGGCCTTCCCCATAATCCCCGATGATGATATCAGACCAAGGTCAACAAGACTTTTCCTAAAATAATCCGCAGAATAATCAGCTCTGCAGGGCATTGTGTCTGCCTAGCAGGCAAACCCCTGGGATCATTGTAAACATGCTAACGGGTTAGCATGCATGTGTGAGGGCCGCCATTCTTCACAGGGTAATAACTGGGTAACACCCTGTGCATTCTCACCATGGATCTCAGCTGCTTGTGTCCCATAAAGTTCCCAGACCTCTTGAACGAAACCCTCGACCCTTTGCAGAAGTTTTTAATTACTATTTCTCCTTCAGTTTAAATTAAACCTTTGAATGCATGTTTAAGTTCTTGAGAGTACAGTGCTCAAGCTGGTCTCTTTGCCATTGTGAATGTCGGTCTCCCACCAAACACTGGCCACATTGAGTAAAGGACTCCACTGCTCAATGAAGACTAATCCCAGCATTCCCAGCATGAAAGCCTCAGACTGAGACAGAATGTCTACCTCAGTGCTTCCCATTGGATGAATGCAAGCATTAGGTATACACACTTATGTATATACCTACTTGGATGGGAGATCAACTAGAAAAGCTAAGCTGCTGCTGGAAGAGGTGTTGGCGTGGCTAACAGATTAGCCCATCCTGTGGTCTGTGTGGATCCCAGTGCCCCAGTGTAGTGATGTGGACATCGTGCTGTAAAAATGGTTAAGATATAAAACCGAGGTCCTGACTCTCTGAGGTCATGGAAGGTCCCAGGGCATCTTTCGAAAGAGAGAAGAGGTGGTACCCTGATGTTCTGGCTAAAATTGCCCACTGTGGCCCTATCAGGTCTGGCCTCCTAACCATCCCCTATATCTAATTGGTGAATTCTCTGCCCCTTCACCACTTTAGCTACTGGGTGGTGAGCGTACTGGGTCAAATGGCTGCCGTCGTATCACCCAGTCATTCAGTCATTCACTTACTTATGTATAAATATATTATTTACAGATGGAGGAAACGAGAGAGAATGTGAGAAAGATGGTTTTACTTACTGTATGGGAAGCTTAAGCGTGGAGTAACGTCACTGTCCGCTGCGGTCACCTGACAAACGTCCGTCACCAAGAGCGTGACGGCCAGCAGCATGCACAGACACCCCATTCCGGCTGCCCGAACGGCTCCTTCAGAAGCTTCCGGGGCAGCAGTAGCACGGCCCTCTTCTCCCTCGGTGTGTTCCTCGCTCTCTACTCGCACGCTTGCTCTTCCTCACATTGTGGATCAGCTTTCTGCTTTGCAGGGAAGTCGGACTTCTCCCTGGTGACACTGGGTTCAGGCCAGAACCCTTTCTGAACCTCCACGCGGGTCTGGACTCCTCAGGTGGGCCTCAGTGCGGTTCTGGCACCTGGAGACAGGAGACAGTAAAGTCATTCATACTTAAAAGCTTGAAATCACTGATTACATTGCCCCGGGCTGTTGGCACTTAAGGCTTCATCGTAACTGAAAGCTGTCATTTGCAAAAGTCTCGTTCCCACGGCCTCCAATAAACAGCTGCATTTAAATAAGAAGAACAAGAGCAGGAAAATGGACTAGGATCACCAGAGAGGTACCCTTCCTGATTTTAAAAGGCAAACACTCGCGTTTTCACCACTGTCCTTCAGAACTCAGGCAATCATACTCATGCCGTCCATAAGTATTCAACCCTAAAACTCTCCATCTGTGTCTGAAGTGGACCAAACCCCCTCTCTTCCAGGCAGCTCAGTTCAGATGAAACACTCAGTTTTCCCTGTAGAATGAGCCAAGAGGTAAAACATAAAAAAGGCACCTTGACTGTTCTTCCACCAGCCTTTTATGTTAAAAGTCACGTCTAAACATGAACTGTAATGCTAATTGGACAGAAAATACAGTAGAAGTAACAGAACTGGGCCGCAGTGCTGGTCCGAGGGGCGGAGTTTCTGTGACACAAATGCGATTTGAACGTTCATCGTTCCACAGGAGCGACCTCCTCCCATTGGAAACAGACTCGCATGGTTCACTCAGAGCCGAGCCCTAAGCGGCTCCAGCTTAGCACCTGGCAGGACGTATTTAAAGCGCAGCAAAGCATCCTGCCGCACGCAGCCTGCGCCGAGGGCCAGGATCTCTGCTCCCCGGAGCAGGCAGACAGTCACCCGGCCTGAAATGCGCTTTAACTGCACCGTCAGCTTTTTTGTTTCTCAGTCCACAGCGCGTCTTGCGGCCAGGGTCTGGATCCAATTAAATGGTCACAGACGGCACATCGGACTGAAAGGATGGTATGGCAAATATCTGGGCTCCCATCTGTGGGGACGAGGCGCGGAAAATCAGGGAGGTGGTGGACGAGGCTCGCGGTTAATCACACGGCAGAGAAACTTCCAGATTGGGATGTGAGCTTAGCGGGCAGCCGGCACTGTCCTCCACGAAGCGGCTGCCAGGGTGCTATTATCTTAACCGCGTGCAGACACGCACCATCTGCTCCCTCTTTCCGCTTTCGCCAAGCGTATCAAATAATGCAGCTGGTGGCGTTCCAGGCATCGTGAACGAGTCAAGTAGGGCAGACGAGCAGATCCGTGCGGACGTCACTGCGGAGCTTCTCGGGAGCGGCGTGGCTCGCTGCATGATGCCCGTGTACGCCCGGGCGGCACGATCGGAGCGGGACCCGGCCCGCAGCTGCTCGTCATGGATACGCCGCATCGCTCGGTCTGTTCAGCTGCTGATTCAGCCGTGCCCCCGTGACCTCACACACGCTGGGCTGCTGACACACAGCCTATGGAAACGCAGAGGAGCCACAAACTTTGGCTGAATGCCATGATGAACCTGTGTCTGACTAGTGTTACTTAAACATGCCTCATCACCCTGATCCTTTAGGATCGCAGTGGTTAAATCGCTTCCTTAGTGAACTGAAGAGCTCTAACGGTGAATGATGAATGAAAAACACATTTATCTTCCCATCGCTTACTCTCAGCAGGGTCAGAGGGGGCCTGTAGGGGGCGATATAAAGCATGATCAAAGTGCTATCATTCTGAGGACCGCTCTGTCTCACACTTAGACAGCTTGGAAGGAGACAGACCAGACTTAATCAGCTGCGCCGGACACTCAAGGAAGTGAAGATGGTCACTGCCACCTTACTGCTGTTGCAAACAGCCCCTTTTCTTCAACATCTAGTTTTCTTTCCTCCTCGATTCTGCCTGAAGTTTAGTGAGACTGGAATATCAGAAACAGAACATGAGCAGGAGAGCTGCCTGACTAACAGCTGAGAGCTCGCTGACGTGCTGGGAGTGAGAGGCAGGGCTCTCGGGCCGCTCTGGAGGTCCTCAGCGGGGTGCAGCACGCTTCTGCTTCACAGAGGAGAGCTTCTCAGGGGCCTGTTCTCCATGTGCTCCACAGACAGACACTCCTCAGATTGCTTTAGGTTAACAAATCATGAGCGGGGCAGTCAGGGAGAGACAGGCAGATGCCAGCCTCCGTCTCCAAAACGGACGACACCAAGAGGACATCGAGGGCCGGGTAGGCAGAGCCCCCCCCCCCCCCCCCCTCCCCCGCACCTCCTTCCAATGAGGAGGAATGACAAGCATATGTGCCTAAACCCCAACACAAAAACTCCATATGCAAACGAATGGGCTTCACACTCAATCCTCTGAAACAGTTAATTTAGCTCTTACCTCTATTCTGCAAATAATTATTTTAATGCAGTTAAAAGATTAAACGATAGACATCAGGCAAGTATTACCGCTGGCGTTTACAATGGTTTCCCGTATATAACAGTGGATATCAATCCAGCACGTCTCTTAATGCACTTTGATTTCTGAAATACAGGCTTTTACACACGCAGACTGGATTGAAAAGCGTTGCAGATAAAAAAAAAAACCTGCAGGCAGGACTCTGATTAATCCAAGTGTAGGAGGTTTTATAGTCTTTAAGCCTAAAAGCTTCACTTGTAAGCAAAAATTTCTGTTAATGAAAAAAAAAAAATGAAACCTTTACATGGACAACCTGAAAGTACCGAATGCTCCCTTCGCGTGACGCGTTTGTGTTTCACTGTAGGCGAAATATTAGCCGCCGCACCCAAATCCCTAAACAGGTAGGTACCTCAGGAGATTAACTGTGCAGATCCGCAGCCCCTCGCACAAAGGAAATTATATTCTTATTATGTTTAATAACCAGATTGTTCACTCACGGTGCCACTTTGAAAAGAAATGCCTGCAATGAAAAACAGGATATGACAAGTCACATTTTTAAAAAAATCCAGCTTTTGGGAAAAAAAAACTGCCTTTTGGGGGCGTTTTTGGTGAAAACCTTGCCTCTCTGCTTAGGACAGACTGACACAAGAAATCAGGGTCTCCGCCGTGTGTCGATACATATCACTTTACAGGATGTGTCAGAATGAGAATCACTCGCACGCTCTGGCTGGAGCGTATGGGGATGGTGTGACCTACAGGCGGACAGAAAGGTGATAATAAACCGTGAGACTCTGGACAACATTCTCCCACCCACAGATGGGCCGAAACTCACTCCCAAGTGTGTGACACCGGTGTGAATTTCATTAGTACGGGTAACACCCGATTCAGGAGGAAGACGGACTCTGGAGAATGAAGTAGGTCAGGGTGCGAGATCGCCCCCGTCCCCAGCAAAAGCATTCTTAAACCAAAGATTATCTCAGAATAACCGTCCGGGGAAAACGAATCCCAAACTCCCATCTGCATTCTCAGCTTTCACGTCCAGCTCACAGATCTTAATCAGAGCCGTTTTCCTTCACGGCTGAGCTGAAACAGGCTGACTGCTTCCATGTGCCACCATCTAATTCTAGACCTAACAGGCGAATGGGTTAAACCTGTACATACAAGGGCTCACCTCCCACAAGAAAGACGCTGTCTGAGTGATTCCGGGAGACTTACTCTCTCCCATTTACAATCAGGGGACAGAGCCGGCGAACAGACTCTCCTGCATGGATTGATCAGCCTTAAATCATCAAGGTTTTAAAAACACACCAACGTCTGATAACACATGTGCCGACCCCATCTCGCTAAGCACGTCTCAGCCTCAGCCTGCCCACTGCTGTGAGCATCAGGCAAGATACGACCCAGATGTAGCAGTTTTGGGGCAGACAGGAACTTTATTAAGGAAATAGACCAGACTGTACATGAATGACAATGACCGAGCTGAAAAACACAGTGAGGACAGGCAGAAATATACAAGAAACATGATTGGCAGAGGAGAAACAGGTGTGAAGGGGCAAGGAAGGCAGTTCCTTGAAGGCTGGGAAAAAGGTGATTACGGGATGACCAGTGACCTCTGCTGGGCAAACGGGGACAAGACGGAAACAGATCACGACAACCACAAATGCATCCTGCATCTCCCCTTAGCTCCTCCTCTCATGGACGCTGGGTGTGAATCAGATGAGCAGCACTTTACACACTGTGACCAGACCCGCGCGCCCCCAGGGCCAGCCTCACTCACTCCATTCATTGTGGGCACTTGGGAAATGCCTGACCTTTACGGTGCTGGGTGTGTGTCCCGGATCTGCACACAAATAGTGCTCTATACACCGGAAGCATGCTTCCTGGGCGATCGCTGTCGGTGCGCCGTGGGCGTGTCTGCACCGTGATGCCGTTTGTTATCGTCTTGCGCAAACTGCACCGAGCTCTTTGTTACAGACATTTAGCAGGACGGCATCCACCAGACTTGCAAGCCCGATCAGAACAGATACGCTCATATTTCAGCAGCATTTAAAAATGTCGGCCTCGACCTGCCGGGGAGGCTTTCTTAATGATCAATAAGAATCGATGAAACAGTCACTCCGCTTTTTAAATGGCTTGCAAAAGGCAGCAGGGGCCAGAAGAAAGAACAACTCATGTCATTGAAAATGCGCCAGACGATTCAGATGGAAACAGAGCGGGACGCCGGAGTTCGGGAGCCGGAGTTAGGGACGCCGGAGTTAGGGACGCCGGAGTTAGGGACGCCGGAGTTCGGGACGCCGGAGTTCGGGAGCCGGAGTTCGGGAGCCGGAGTTCGGGAGCCGGGAAGCAGCACCGCAGCCCAGGGTGGATTCCCCGGCGCTGGCTGGCCGACCCTTAATACACCTGCTTATGCAGCCTCATCAGGCCTGGCTGCTTTTCATCATTTAATTGGCCTTCGGGTATCGGCCTGGCGATCAATCAGCACGCGACGCGAGTCAGGGAAACCCACCCCCCGGCTCAGCCCATCACCCAGCTTCCTTAAAACTGAAAAGTCCTGAATGAACCCCCCCCCACCCGAGATTCCGAACGCAAAGTGTTTCCAAAAGCTGCAATCACAATTTTTGCATCTATTTCTTTGGGCCGTGTCTTGCGCTCGCCTCCAGTTTCCAGCTGGCGGGATGGCAACGCTTACAAACTAGGAGAGCTCCGGCCC